TCCTATAAATCAACTACTACCTACTTTCGGCCTGGTTTCTTTAAGCCCATAAGAACAATGTTATACCTTTGTCCGTAAATGCAACTTAATATACTAAACCTCTTACATGTTCCTTTAAGGCAAAGTAAGGTCACGACGCATTGTGAAATAATGAACTAAATTGCAAATTTAATATTTCAAATGCTTTGGGGTTATTTCGCATGATTAAGTTTTATAAACTATAAACTTAAGTAAAATGTATTTGGGAAAATGGATTTTTGGAAGTATATTTATCATAAAAATTTTTGCCAACCAGTAAACTGTGTTTGTCCAAGCAATCACTAGAAACTTTTGAATCAATCTTGTAATTTCACTGCAGTGCTCGCCAAAATGTCTAAACTATATTAGAACCATTTCTATTATTAATTTTCCAAAAAATCATTTTGTTCATAAAATTAGGTGCACTGTCTACGATTCGAAATGCAATAGACAAATTTCATATTTACATCACATAAGAGATACTCAAAAAATACTCATTTGATCCGAGTGTGGAGTACGCATCTTCATTTATTTGAATGTGGAAAGGTTGTTGAATGCATGCCGCCTATTTTAAACTATCAACTGGAGAGAAATATTTTTCATCAATTCTTTTCTTTGTAGAAGATTGAATATTGGCATTTGTTATTAGCTGCAATTTACTCTTTTCACTCAATTCAAGTTGAGTTCTATCATTGATTTTCTGTACGCAAAGTAAATATAACATAAACAAACTATGGAATAAGTATATAGCAATATTCTTGAACTATGTCAAAATTCTCAATATCACTCTTCAGCCATCTTAAACATGTGTTCTCATTAAACCAATTAAGGAAAATGTACTGCTGGCGGTACCAAAAACTAGTACTCGTTCAATATTAACGTTTGTTGTGCAATATTTACAAAAAATGTATCGGTTTTTATTTCGTTCGCGACCATATACAGTGGAATGTTGTGGTTATTTTATGTTGGTAAAAGAATGTACTATTAATAAGTTTTCAAATCCCAAAAAATATCATCTGTGGTTTCAGCTATACGGAGAGCTACATAGCAGTGCGCCCAGATAGTGGGAGAATATTTTTGTAAAAATTCGTGAGCAATCAGATCAGCAAATATAATCCCTTCAGATATTTTTTGGGCTACCTTGAGAATATTGTATATAGTCATCGGCCATACACTCACAAGTTCAAGCATTCAACTACTAATATTATTTTTGACAAAGGAAGATTTCAATACTAAGTTCAGTTATGAGAGATGTTAAAGGTTAAATTTATTCACAAATAATAAGTTTTTGTAGATCAAAAGTCTTATTGATAATGTTATTTAACGTAACTCACACATATTGCTACTTTGAAGCTTCCTTTATGTACTCGTGATGCATTGTTTGGAAACTTTGATGCAGTAATGTGTATTACTGGAGTTTTTTCCCAACACCAAACCGTTATTTCAGCACCTCGACACGTGTTTCGATCACCAAGTGATCATCTTCAAGATCAAACTTCTTTCTCTTGAAGATGATCACGTTGTGATCGAAACACGTGTAAAGGTGTTGAAAAACGGTTTGGTGTTGGGAAGAAACTCCAGCAATAATTTTTTCCTTTATGTATCGTTCACTTTGCACTAAGAAGAGCTACAATTAGGCAATAAATTGTAGCTTTTCAATGTATACAGAAAATATATTTACAGAAAATCTAAAGAGTTCTTCAGAGGTCAGTTGTCAAAGTATTTGAAAAAATAAGTAATATTTTTCTTGATATCTGATGTGATCAATCAATCAATCAATCGATGAAGAGTAGGTTACTTCGACATAAAATAAAACTTGAAAAACTTTTATGAAGAATATAATTTTTTCATGAAATCAATAATAGAATATTTATTCACGATGATAATATAAACGTCTTTATCATTTACATGCTGCAATTTTACATAAAAAAATGAGAAATATTACAATTTGACACTTTTTTTTTTAATATACTTTATTGTCTGAAGAATAAATTCTTATTGACAAAGCCTTGTGCAAAATATAAATAACATATACATGAAATCACAAAAGTAAAATCACTAAAAGTAGATTATAACATGAACTGAAAAGAGACATGTAAATAATAACAAACGTTTAGGATATAAGAACATGGTCAACAAATGTAAATAAATCAATTTAAATACCGTAGATATTACAGTTAGTCTTCTCAATTAAAATTATCATCATAGAATTCTGCTAAGCTATAATAAGGTCTCCCAGAGAGCAAGTCTTTCAACTCTTGCTCAAGAGCTCTAAAGTCATTTATGGTTCTTATAGCTTGAGGAAGGTGATTGAACATTTTAAGACCGTTGTAAATAATGGAATCTTTAACTAGCGACGAAGAAAAGAAAATAAATAGCATTTAATAATAACAAGTCACTATTGATTGCTGTTCCCCTTAACACATATTATTTGGATGGCATTATATGCATGATGTACTTAAATTTGTGCTGAAATTCTTACTAACTGCATGGCCATTTAATGCTTAATGTTTATTGAGTTCTTTCATTATAGGACTTTTTCCAGAATTTCACTGTATGGTAACCACGCAAAACGTTCCCATGAGAGCTCTCTGTATTTCGTAACTACACTGCGAATTACCTACTTTTAATCCCGAAGGTGAATATTTTACCTGTGCAAGAAATTTATAGGAGATTTAGTAAGTTTCAGTTATTTAACCAGGTAATATAAATTCATCTACTAATATTTAAATAGACGATGTTTTGATTCCATTGGACTTTTGCTGTGGTTGTAAAAGTTCATGTCTAAGATAATACCTAAAAATACCTGAATAACCTTCTATTTATGCCAAGTAAGGGTTTATCGAAAATTATGCGATTCAGTATAGGAGACAAAGAGATTTGTGACATGATATATTACCGTCACTTTCGAGTATTTTCTGGAAATTCAATGGAAATGGATGTCTCTTCTGAATAATATGAAAACAAAATTGGACTTACTAGCTGAAAAATTTAAACTACGAAAAAACTTTCATTTAACGTAAAAATAAATAAGTATATTATTGTTAGTAAGTTATTGTATAATAAAATTTTATTACAACGCTTTCCATTATATTTACATAAGTTAACTTTTTTCAACTGATCAAACATTACATCTTTCAGATCTTTCATTTCCACCGTGTGAGTTTCCAAAATAACAAAAATTAATCACTCCTAAAAAACATAACCCCTTCAATTCAAACAAAAAAGTAAAATACAGTTTGTTGATTTCATTCAAATTAAATAACAGGAGAATTTCATTAGTTCGGACTTCCATTGTCTAATATGCTATAAATTGATTTGAAATTCCTGAAAGAATATGTAAAAAATTAAAAAGATTAGCTGAAAAATAATATCAACCAAAAAAACTGAAATTGCAATGAAATGGAATACAAGCTACAATGAAAAAAAAATATTACCAAGAAATGAAAATTGGAAATTTAAAGATTCCAAACCCTTTTACTTCACGGCGTTTAATTTTTAATTTTCATTTCTTGTTAATAACTTTTTTAATTTTCATCTACTATTGATAGTTCTTTTTTTCATTTTTTGGTTGTTGTTTGTAGTTTTTAATTTCATCGCAATTTCAGTTTTTCGCTTAATATAATTGTTATTTTTCAGCTAATCTTTTCAACTTTTTACAGATTCTTTCAGGGATTCAAATCAATTTATATCATATTAGACAATGGAAATCCGAACTAATGAAATGTACGACGAAACATTGTCAAGCACCTTCAAACAAACGTTGATAACAAGAATTGTGAACTGAATCCTAAAAACAATAAAATATTTTCCAAGTTGCTTCCGGGGGTCAAGCCAACTGAAATGTATGAATTAGACAGCTGCTAAAAATTGGGTTATGTTTGCATTGTTAAGTTTATGACTCGGCTCATACTTATACTTGAGTATGCATAATTTCAAATAGGTAGGACTTCACACCTATCTGAAAGTTGTAGCTGAAAAATAAAAGAATCAATTTTTGATGCACTGATGCACTTGATGCACTGAATTAGTTACAACCCTATCATTGCAATTTTTTCACGAAGTACCAAGAAATGAATATTTTGGTTGGTAGGAAGCAAAACTACCTTTTCAATAACACATATTTAATGTTAATTCATACATTGTCCAAAACATACAAACTGTGCATCACATGTGACCAAATTTCTATAGTCCTATTGCTTGCAAAGTAAAACGCACATTTAATATGACACCCTGAAACAAAATATATCTGCATTATCAAAACTAAAAAGTTTTGTTGAAATTGTGTCACTAATATATTGAGTCTTATTTTGAAACAGGCAAGTTACAGGCAGCTGAAATTTCAATGTGGAATAAAATTGCATTTTATTTATATAACTTTTTTCGATTTTCGTCAAATGATACTATTCGTGCGACTACTACTTTTTCAGTTATTTTTCATCTCTACTGGCACAAAAATTGATGTGAAATGAAGCTATTTATTAAAAAACAAATGACGCGGACTTTACTGGCCACACTCTATATCAATTTCAACAACTTCATTTTTTAAGAGGCTTATATATTTCATCGAATATCTCATATTTCATGCTCAGACCCCATCTCCAAAAAAAAACCTGGTAGCACACGTATTCAGCAAAATAGAAAAAAACACATTCAAACTATAAGTTTCTAAATTTATCTTCAAATTTCATCTTTGATGTGGCAAATTCATTGTTCAGTTAGTTAAAATTTTAGGGTTTCTGAATTATTAAATATAATATATTGAAAACATTACTAAATAATAATAGCATCGGGAGAGCAGAAAAACAACCTCGTGTCGCGAAGGGTAGCCTACCCTACCACCACCCAACACCGTGCGGCAACATAACGCACCGTAGCAATCTTCGGCGGTCATCATCAGCTGTTAGTGCACGTGAATCACCGAAAGCGAACGGTAACGTTTACAGTCTTCGGCTGCGTGAACACGTCTCACGCGCGAGAGAGAGAACGACTGAGACCCTCTAGAAGCGACCCTTGAGGGTGGGAGGGTGTCACGTCAAGCTATCACGCGGGGACCGCGGTCCTACCTCCCTCCTGGCCTGCCCTGCGCTTAGTCGCCAGTCCGCTCTCACTTCTCTGGTTGTCGTATCGATCCGCCGGACAAAGGAAACTGACCACCAGTTCGCAAGAAACTATTCTACAGTGTACTTAACCTAACCTGTGCTCGGCAGCGATTGAAAAATCGCAAACGCGGTAGTGTTCAAGGGTGCAAGCGCGCGCGTTTCCAACTTCTGTTCGGCCGTTACGTCGTGCATTCGTCAAAAGTTCGTGTGAGTTTGTTTCTAAAAAGTTTTCGCTTTATGACTTTTTCGCACTGCGCACTCCTTCCCTTATCCGATTGGCAGCCGGAATAGTGACACGTGCTCTCATAACAGGTGGAATAAACATTTGCGCGAGATGTCCACTAAAACTAAACGTCCCCTGCGTTCGCTGTCTGCCCACGAAAAGCTGGATGCCATCGGCAGAGTGCACAACGGCGAGAGCAAAGCCTCGGTTGCGAGAGACATCGGGGTGCCGGAGTCCACGTTGAGGGGTTGGTGCAAGAATGAGAGCAAAATCTCATACCTCTCAAGGCAGTCGAGCCCCGAGACAGACGAGTCTCTGGAGCAGTCCAATGCCAAGAAGATAAAAATCGAGGAGCCAGAGATGCAGCCGTTCGATCTCAGTCTCAAAATCAACGGCACCAGCTATTCGCACGACTCGCCTCTGGATTACACCAAGAGCGATTCTCCCAATCGCTCTCTGAACGTGACTGATAAGATCGACACACCTAAGACCGCCATTCCCGAAAGAGACAGGAACAGAGTCGAGCTGGCGAGACTCAGCGCGGAACTAGGTCTCAACAGACCCGAATCCCTGCCGGCAACGACCTCTTCGGCCAATGTAGCAGACCTCGTCATGGTGGCACAGTGGAATGCGGCGTTAATGCGGAAACAGCAGAGTCAACTCTCCGTTGCTACCAGTACGACTCCTCAGGATGCCGTCGGAGTTGCTTCGACTTCTGGGGGTCTGCTGGCTATCGCGGAAGAGGAGAAGAACAGACAACTGCCCAGGGAACAACAATCTGTAAACGAAACCGTCTTGAACTGGATTAAGTCCCAGCAAGCTTTGATGCACCCCCCGCAAACTCATTTGGTTCCTAATGGATTTTCAACCCCTTTGCCAAACACGAGCAGCCCTGGTGCGAAGGGACCCTCTTTCAGTCACAGCTCGTTGATCTTGCAGTGGTACGAACAAATGTTCAACCATCAACTACAACTCTCCGGACAAGACGATAGAACAATTCTGTATCAGCAGCTGACTAGGAACACTCCTGTCCCTGTTCGACACGTTTCACCAACATATCCAGTTGATCAAAACGGAGAGAACTCTTCCGCCAACAACGTCAGTTCTGGTTTCGGCCACAGAGCCGGCAATAACAAGACCAGGACCGTCTTGGACAATCTTTTGAACAACAACAACATCACCGTCAAAGAAGAACCGCACGAGGAAGACACCATCACCCGTGAAGAGGCCATGGACTACGGGGAGAAGTTTGTGAGATGGTTGGAGACTTGCAGTCATCCCTCCGTGACCGCGATGCATATCATGCAGATCAGAGGGTTGCTGAGCAACCTCAAAGGCGCGGGAAGCAGGCAGAACTGCGAGCTGCAGAATAAAACTAAGGTTAGGAGAAAGTGAGATGTAGACTAAAGTTTTTTTGTTGAAAACGAGGCTGTATAGCTGGAAACCAAATGTTTAATTTAAGATGTTATTGTCTCATTATGTAGTTTATGCATAAAGTTTTCCTGGCGTTCGGTTGATTTTAAGCAGAATTTTGTGGGAGGAACGCCTATAGTTCCTTGATTGTTACCTGTATGGGTAGAGCCTTCGAAGAAACGATAAAAAGTTCCCTGATGCCAGTTCAGTTTTTTTTATAGGACAGGTATTATTTGAGCACAGCTTTCCAAGTTTTCTGCAATTGAGTATATAAAATAATGAGATTTTGTATCAACCAATAATACACTTATAATATTTAGTTATGCAACAAAAAGGAAATGTGCAGTCACGACATATACACAAAAGATAAATTTAGGTTTCATCAAATGAAACAAATATTTCAGATTACACGAATTCGAATTCAAAAGTATCAAATAGCCGGTTAGATCAGTTTATCACACTTGTGCAATACATAATAAAAACACAAGGTGTTATTCCAGAAGTGATATAGATTTGAAATAAATTTTGACTGATTCAATTTTGTCAGTTGGCTAACACTGAAACAGGTTTTGAATTAACCTGTCTGAAATAACCTAATCAATTCAATTAGAAGAATGTTTCTGGAATAAGTCATTATATTGATGGATGCATTTTGGTTTTAGATCGAGTACAATATGTGTCACATATACTCTGCCAGGAAAGTAGCCACTAATTTTTTGAACCGGTATATTTTAATTCATTTTAACATCATTACCTTTTGTAGAAAAATGCAGGGATGATTTTCATATATTTCATAATTTCAAAACAAATATTTGAAGTAGGTATCAATTTTTCAATCCGGTATATTTTAATTTGTTATGATTTTTTTCTTTTATGACATTTTTCTCAAATTGTCACATATAATGATTTCAGTATTGAAATTCCACCTATTTGTTGTGATTCTTCATACTTGACATTTTTCTTGAATTGAGTCTTAATAATAATGATCTACGCATCACTTAAAAAATATAAAAGTTCAGTTTTTTTATATGCAAGAAAAAGTAATCGTTTCTTATTTTAGCTAGGTACGACTTTTTACACATCGCGAGTTCTGAAAAAAAGGTGTTGTTATTGGTATTTATTCAAGTTATAGACACATTGACATACTGAAAGTAAGATATTCTCTAATGGAATTTGTATATTTTATACGGTGTCAGTGAAAATTATCAAATACACCCGGTAAATGGTATGTATCATTTTGCAAGAAGATATGCTGAACGAAACTATCAAATTTATTATTTTGACTGAAATATATTACAGTTCTTTTACATATTTTTGATCTACGATCAAATTTTTGGTCTAATGAACCTATAATGAAGGCAAAAATAACTAATAAACCAATAACTCATTTCATATTTTCAGTTTTTTTCTTTACAACATTGTAACCATCTATAATCTTTCCTCGATTCTTCGAAAGGCTCTCCATTCGCTGAGAGTTTTTGTGTAAATATATTTATTCTGATTGGGTTGATGTGCACCAGTGTTACTTTGCACAATTTGAAAAGTATCTCGCCAAATTCAACGTGCCAAATGATTTTTTTTTGCTCAAGCTATGTACCTAGATTATATAGTTCGGAAATTTTTTTATATGTGTAGCTAGCGAGATGATCTCTTCGATATTATTTGCCAAACATTTCCGTACTACCATTTTGCTGCTACTACTCAGTATTTTTTGTGAGATCTCATTTCGTACAGGGTCGTTTTTTAGAGAGTTGTATTAGTGTTGAGTTGTGATTCATGTTAAGTTGTATTTTAAGTTCCCTTGTATGAGATATCGCTGGTGTTTTTTGTACATTGTAAAAACGACGAGTATTTTTTTACCAAAATAAATAGTGTAATATTTCGTATGTCTTTTATTTTCTAAGTGAAAATGTTCAAATTGTCACTGGATTGGCCTACTTATTTTTTATGTCATAATCTATGACACAGCGGGAGATTTATATGGTTTTCCTTAATAAAAATTATTTCAAAATAATTGATGTTAGGTAAGTGCAAATTTTTATTCAATTTAGTCAAACTGGTTATTGTGGTGTAGGATTTGAACCTCTGATGTAGAGTGAATCTTATAAATGTATTTGGTTGGTCAATAAACCCCTGTTAAGCTAGCAGAACCACTTTGAATTTAATTATTTATTTTCGGGCAATAATTTTAGGCGGTGCGTCCTGGTAGCTTTACCAAGAAGCTGGCAGAACCGAATGAAAATCCATCACTTTTTGGAAACTTGCAATGATTTTAGACTCCTGTATCACAATATTGATTTTTTTTTTGTCCCTCGTTTGAATTGAATATTTAGCTGATTAACGGAAAAACAGATTTTAAACAGATTACCACAGACACGCGAAAACATCGGAGATAATTTTTCGAATATATTCTTTAACAATTGGCGAAAAATATTTTGAGAATTTTTATTTCATTTAAGACCCTCCTTTGCCGACTTTAGATGCGTTTTATTTTTTTAAATAGTGTGTTCTGCTAGCTTTACTGACTGGTGAGCTGGCAAAACCAAATCAAAATCCATCATTTGGAAAATTTCAACTTGCAAACAAGCTCCTTTATTACGATATTGAATACTTTTTGCCCCAGTTTGAACTGAATATTTGGGTGATTATAAGAGACACGCGAAAAAATGATATGTTTTTTCGAAAATAATCTTCAATCATGGGCGAGATAGAAATATATTGAAAACTTCGGGTTCATTTCTAACTCCTATGTCTCCTTTGTCGACTTCGAATGCGTTGTATTTTTTTGAATAGTGAGTTCTACTAGCTTTACCATCAAGACGTCAATTTTAACGATACATTTTGCTCTTCATTTGCCAACATTCGCAATATTTCGCAAAAAAATATTTATTTGCACACTTTTTTGTTTGAACGTCACTAAAAGACATTAATGCTAAATCTCAGCTCTATGATTTGATCAATTATTTATATCTGGCCAAGTTTAGATCGGATGCAGTCCATTCGAAACAACTATTCTCATATGAAAATTGAATTATTCGAAAATAACTTTTTTCGATAGAGTTGATACTTCAAACATTCGTTATGAATTTGAAACAGATATATTCACAGAAACGCTTCACAATAAAAAAATTTTTAAAAAAATTAAAAAAAGAAAAGTTAAAAAAAATGAAAATGAAAACAAATATTCAAAAATGTATGAAATAGTAAGAGAAAAATAAAAAAAAATAAAAAGAACAACCACTTATTACGACTAACTAAATACTAACCTTTATAAATAAATAAGAATGTATTTTAAATCTAGAAAATATCAAAATATTGTAGAAATTTTACATGTTAAAATTGATCAACAAATATACAACGCCATTTGAACTCAACACATACACAGAAACACTTCACAACGTAATATATGAAAGATAATTATTATGTCACCATGCAAGTTTCACCACGTAAAACAAAACTATATAACGCAATTGCGTGTCGCATCGATTTTCGTAGGTCCTGAACTTTTTTCGTTTGCATTCTTCTTTTCCTCTTTATAATCCTCTATTTTACTCACTTCACCTTATCAATTTCTCTATTTTTAAACAATGTCAACAAATAAAAACAATAAACTCTGGGGAAATGAAAAGTATAGACTTGTAACATTAAAGAAATCAAAACTGTTCCTCAAACGGATTTCTACCTCAAATTTATAAAACTAACTCAAACGAATAATGGTCCCAGTTGAGTTCGCTCTCCTTTTTATTAGGGAATAGCCTCGACGATCTTTTTATAATTAACCACCAGTTGAACATCACCCTATCACCCTCTAATTTGTCTTGTAACAGACGAGCGTTTAAATAAAATTTATTGCCTCCATTAAATTCTGTTCATGGTTCGAAAATTATAACAGGAAGTTGGATTGAACAGGATAACTTCAATTTTTTAACATTTAGATTTTGGTAATTCGTGAAATAGTAATTATACAAAGCTGATAATAAAGGAGGTATAAAAATACTTGTGAGAAATAAAAAATAGGAGTTAACTTAGGTTGAAATATATGTTGCGATAGTAAATGAATTTATTCTCTTTTTTCTTTGATAATGACACTTTAGATCATGACGTAAATGGTAACGTCACAGGTTGAAAACATGAAACCCTAAAACTTAATATCCCATTCATTTTATGTAAAACTAAATGATGCAATTGCGTGAAGTTATTTGCAAAGTTCAACTACAACGATACGTCAAAAATCAGTCCTCAATACTAAGTTAATATTTCTTCCTATTCTGGATACCTCCAAATTTCCTGTTTTTGAATATAGAGTTATTTTCTCCAACCTCTGAAGTTATTGGCATGATGATCAAAAGAGCTTTCCGAATCTGACTAAAGCACCAGCTCGGTTAAAACGGTCCTCTATTTCTACCGGAACATGTGCAGAAAAAGTATTTTACATCAGGTGACTTACTTACCAGTAGGTGACTTACTGACTTATTACAGTATGTCTTGTTTTACGGATGAGGGAAGGACGTAGGAACTGGAAAATAAACGAGTAATGTAATAACACATAACAGACATACTTACATCGTATGATATTTCAATTCATTCTCTCTTCAAAATGTTTCATGAATAAATTAAATTACAATATTCATTTGGCAGATTGAAATAATATTACCAATTTTAGTCAAGCAAAATATATAAAAGTTGAAAAACTCTTTTTGCAAGTAAATGTGCCTAACCTGTGTCAATAGACAGATGAAATAAAAATTACCGAATCAAGTCAAGCAAAAGATACAAAAAATGATGGTTAGTTTTCAAAAAATTGAAGTTGGTTGAAAAATTTATTTCGCAAGTTAAAGTGCTTAACCTATGTCAATAGATATAGGTCCAGATGAAATGAAAATTACTATTTTCAGTCAAGTAAAATAGTAAAAAAAACGTAATTGTTAGTCTACTTTACGAGTATAATTAAATGACATTCTCCATTTACTACGGTTGATTAAAAAGTTATGTACCTATATGTGTAGCTGTGGATATTTTTCCTAATAAATATTGGAAACGAGACGTATTTTTCTAGTTGGCTATGACTTTGAATTATGATAGTTACTGGACAGAATGAAATAAAAGCAACTTTCAAAGATCATTTTTTATTTTAAAATTAAAGTTTTTCAATTTTACAGTGCATTTAGCTAACACTTAGACAAAAAGGGAGCAAAATAAAAGTACCAAGTTACACAAACAAATAATACTCTAAACAAATAATAACTAACCATATGAGGAATACA